GGCTAATTTTTTCTATATATTTTTAGTTGTCCGATTAATTTCTTTCTAATTTTAGTAGAGACGGGGGTCTCGCTCTTGCTCAGACTGGTCTTGAACTCCTGAGCTCAAACAATCTGCCCGCCTCGGCCTCCCAGAGTGCTAGGATTTACAGGCGTGAGGCCACTGTGCCCGGCACCCGGCCTTCTCAGCTTTTTAAGTGTGAATTTATAAGAGATACTGCATCATTTACAGGAGCAAAATCACATTAATGATGGAACAATTTGCAATTACCAGTTTTGAAAATGCCCTTTCCATAGCATGAGTATTTTTGGAAAAGCAGTTATTTTCTCACTCCTTGAGAGAAAAATGCTATCATGTTCTCAAAGGGACATATTTTGTGTTTGTTTTTCTCAACAACACCTGTTAGGTAACATACTACCAAAAACCTTTTGTTATCACAGAAAAAAGACAGCAAATTCAACACCCTTGTTTTGTAACAGAAAAATGCATGGACTATTATAATTTAAGTCAACAACTCTTCTAAGTAATTTGCCATAAAATAATCAGCAGATCTCTGGGAGGTACAAAAGATTTTTGTGATAACTCCCTTACTCAGGATGTCCTTTATTTCTTGTAAAGATTACCTTGTTTACTTAACCAGGCACACACACTGCAATAAATCCTGCAGCACAAGAGGGAACAAGCCAATGAGGGCTTTCAGTTCCTGTGTGTTGTGGAACTCCCACCCTACCCCCAGGAAACTGCACATTTTTAAGTGACACATAAAGACCAAAGAGGGCCTTATGTCAATCTGTATATTACATATTAGTTCTGCTTAATTTCTTGTTCATTTTTTAGAAATAAATGAATTGATAAAAAGCATCTACAAGAAACCTACAGCTAACATTATACATAGTGGTGAAAGACTAATTGCTTTCTGCCTAAGATCAGGAACAAGGCAAGGATATCTGTTCTACCCACTCTTATTCAACATAGGTGGATATGCTAGCCAGCACAAGAAGGCAAGAAAAGGAAACAAAATGCAAACAGATTGGAAAGGAAGAAATAAAACTGTCTCTATTTGTAGATGATGTGATGATTTGCTGATGGCATGGTAAATCCCAAGGAATCTAAGACAAAATAAACAAACCAAAAAAGACCCTAACAAGTGAGTTCAGCAAAGTTGGAAGATATAAGATCAACATATAAAAATCAGCCAGTTTGGTGGTGCAAGCCTATGGTCCCAGCTACTCAGGAGGCTGAGGCAGGAGGATTGCTTGAGCCCAGGAGTTTGAGTCTAGCCTGGGCAACACAGTGAGACCCCATGTCTAAAAGAAAAAAAAATCAATTGTGTTTCTGTATACCAGCAATGAACACACAGACACTAAAATTTTAAATGCAGTACCATTTAGGAGATCTAAATACTGTGTGCATGGATTGAAAGACTCAACATAGTAAAGGTGTTGTCAGTTCTCCCCAAATTGATGAAGAGGCTTAAAACAACTCCTATCAAAATCTCAGCAAAAGGCTGGGTGCGGTGGCTCACGCCTGTAATCCTAGCACTCTGGGAGGCCAAGGCGGGCGGATTGTTTGAGCTCAGGAGTTCGAGATCAGCCTGAGCAAGAGCGAGACCCCGTCTCTACTAAAAAAAAATAGAAATAAATTATCTGGACAACTAAAAATATATAGAAAAAATTCGCCAGGCCTGGTGTAGTCCCAGCTACTCGGGAGGCTGAGGCAGGAGGATCGCTTGAGCCCAGGAGTTTGAGGTTGCCGTGAGCTAGGCTAATGCCACGGCACTCACTCTAGCCAGGGCAACAGAGCAAGACTCTGTCTCAAAAAAAAAAAAAAAAACCCAAATAGCCCCCATGCAGCTACAGACAAATGATTTTGGACAAAGGTGCAAAAGCAATTCGATGAAGGAAGAGCAGTGTTTTCAAAAAATTGTTCTGGAATAACTGGATATTCATAAGTCAAACAAGCAAATGGAACCTCAATCTGAATTTTATACGTTGCACAAAAATTAACTCACTCAAAATGCATCACATATTTAAATGCAAAGCATAAAGCTATAATTTTTAGAAGATAACCTAGGAGAAAATCGTCAGGACTTAGAGCTCAGTGAAGAATTTTTAGACATAATCCCAAAAGCACAATTCATAAAAGAAAAAAACTGATAAATGGACTTCATCAAAATTAAAATTTTGTGCTCTGTAAAAGACCCTGTTGGGAGGATGAAAAGACGAGCTATATACTAGGTGAAAATATTTATAAACTACATACTCAATTAAAGGCTAGTGTCTAGAATATATAAATAGCTCTCAAAAATCAACAGCAAAAAAAAAGCCATCCAATTAGAAAATAGGCAAAAAACATGGACATTTCACTGAAGAAGATAAATGGCAAATAAGCACATGAAAAGATATCAACATTGCATCTCAGAATGTCCCTCCACCCCCCCCAAAAAAAGATGTTCAACATCATTAGCCATGGGAAATGCAAATTATAATAAGAGATATCATGATGAGATATCACTACCCACTTACGAGCACAAGTAGAATAAAAAATAGTGACAACACCAAATGCTGGTGAAGATGTGGAGAAACTGAATCTGAATCACTTATACATTGCTGGAAGGCATGTAAAATGAAACAGACATTCTAGAAAATATTCTGAAATTTTCTTTAAAAATGAAATATGCCACTATCCTATGACCTAGCAACTGAGCCCTTGGGCATTTATCCTAGAGAAATGAAAACTTGTGTTCACAAAACCCTATAGTTATGTTCATAAAAATATATACGCAAATGTTTATAGCAGTGTTATTCCTGATAGCCAAAACTGGAAATAACTGAAGATGTCCTTCAATGAGTGAATGATTAAACAAGCAATGGTACATCCATTTTATGGAATACTACTCAGCAATAAAAAGGAATGAACTATTGTTACATGCAACAACCTCGATAAATCTCTAGAGACATACTGAGTTAAGGAAATCAATCCCACAAGGTTATATACTGGATTATTCCATTTATATAATATTTTTGAAACGACAACATTATAGAAATGGAGAACAGATTAGTTATTGCCAGGGGTAAAGGAGAGTGGGAGGGTGAGAGGGAAGAGGCTATAGCTATAACAAGGCAACATGAGGGATCCTTGTGGTGTTGAAAATGTTTTGAACCTTGATGGTATCAATGTGGATATCCTAGTTGTGCTACTGTACTAAAGTTTTGCAAGATGTTACCACTGGGGGTAACTGGTGAAAGGTCACATGGAATCTCTAGCCATTATTTCTAATAACTGCATGTAAATCTACAATTATCTCAAAACAAAAAGTTTAAATTTTTTTTGAGACAGGGTTCTCACTCTATTGCCTGGGCTAGAGTGCAGTGGCATCACCATAGCTCACTGCAACCTCAAGCTCCTGGGCTCAAGCTATCCTCATGCCTCAGCCTCCCGAGTAGCTGAGACTACAAGCACATAGCCACCATGGCCAGCTAATTTTTTATTTTTTGTAGAGACGGGATCTTGCTATTGCCCAGGCTGGTCTCAAACTCCTGGCCTCAAACGATCCTCCCACCTCCCAAAGTGCTGGGATTACAGGCGTGAGCCATCTCTCCTGGCCAAAAAGTTTAATTTTTTAAAAAAATGTTTCCAATAAATGAACAAATAGATGGATGAGAGTTCTAATGTTTTCTTCCCACATCATAATGGATCATTTTAGGCACACCTAGTCTTAGAGGTCATTGCCATATGATGCCAATCCCCAGTCAGTTTTTGAGTCTCTTTATTCTCTGCATTCTTTTAAAATTGTGTTCCTTACATGCAAATTTGATCATGCTACTTCTCAAAATCATTAGTCTCACACATAAGGGCTTTCATGATCTAGCTTTAGGCCTTTACCCAATATATATATATATCTATACACAGAACTGCTTACAGTTTCTGTGCAAAATCCTGTCTGAGTGTAAGATACCTGAGAATACGCATAATGTCTTCTCTGCATGTGCTTATGTTATCTCTAATTAAATTACCTCTAATGCTTAGAATGTTCCCAAGCACATATTAGGAGTGCAATAGGCCAGGCATGGTGGCTCATGCCTATAATCCCAGCACTTTGGGAGGCCGAGGCAGGATGATGACTTGAGGTCAGGAGTTCAAGACCAGCCTGGCCAATATAGCAAGACCCCATCTCTACAAAAACTTTTTAAAAAAATTAACCAGGCATTGTAGTGTGCACCTGTAGTCCCAGCTACCAGGGAGGCTGAGGCAGGAGGATCGCTTGAGCCTAGGAGTTCAAGGTTGTAGCCAGCTGTGATCACACCACTGCACTCCAGCCTGGGTGACAGAATGAGACCCTGTCTCTGAAAAAAAAAAGAGAGAAGGTGCAATAAATCTTGACTTGAAGCCCACTGTAAATGTTTATTACCTTTGCTTTTAATCCTAAGAGCCCAGAAGTATTGATTGTGTGTTGCCTTCAGAACACTAACCTGCAATCACTCCTGCCAGATACACCAGCCCCACTCGGAGGCCTTTGTGGACCATTTCCAAGGGAATACCCAAAACGAGCTGCATAGCAAGATTCCCCAAGATGTGCTGAACTCTGCAGAGATAAACACAGTTGTCAAATATTATGACTAAATTAAGCAGTTATTTCCTTGGTAGACTAACAGGCTCTGATGTATTGTTTCTAGCTAAGGACTTGCTTAACTAGAATTCCATTTTCTAAAGTCTTTTAGCAGGGAACTCTTTTTTTCTTTTTTTAAATAAAATCTTGCCTGGAGCTTCAATATTTAAAACAGATAAAAGGGCAATTGAGAAGTATAAATTTTACTCCTTGACTCATGAAAAAAATGAAATAAAATAAAAGTATAAATTTATTTAACTTATTTTATTCTGCTTTGTAACAATTGCTTATAACATCAAACAGAGATCAGTGAGGCAGGTTTAAGGAACATCAACTTGAAATTAGGGAGTTTGGAGGACAATTACCATCGTATGTCAGCTTCAGCATCTGATTTTGTTTCCATTGCACAATTTTGAAAAAATTCTAATTCACTGATATTTAATTAAATTTCAATAGGTTTTTCAACATCCTGTCTTGCAAAACTCAGGGTGTTCTTTAATAAAACAGAGATAGCAAGAGAAAGTTAATTCCCAGTTCTACGTTAAAAAGTTTACCTAGCAACACCAACTAAAGTTGGTATCTCCCATGTACTACAATTTGGCATACAACATATTTGAGTACAGGTGTTTTTAATTATAGTTTTTAAATTTTAAATTTTTTTTTTTTGAGACAGAGTCTCGCTCTGTCCCCTGGGCTAGAATGCCATGGCGTCAGCCTAGCTCACAGCAACCTCAAACTCCTGGGTTCAAGTGATCCTCCTGCCTCAGCCTCCCGAGTAGCTGGGACTACAGGCACGTGCCACCATGCCTGGCTAATTTTTCTATTTTTAGTAGAGATGGGGTCTCACTCTTCCTCAGGCTGGTCTCCAACTCCTGACCTCAAGCGATCCTCCATCTCGGCCTCCCAGAGTGCTAGGATTACAGGCGTGAGCCACCATGCCCGGCCTTAAATTTTAAATTTTAAATGAAATTCATATCATCTTGCTTGTCAAACTCCACAAGCATCTCTGGAGAATCTCTAAACATAATTTGAAAAATTCCCACGTTAGAGTAATCCGTAATTCAGTTGCTATGTAACACAATGCTTTATTTTTTTTAAAAAAAAGAAGATTTCAGATTAAACCAGAAAGTTCAAAAACAAAATAGGTGTTGGATCTTCCACAGTGCCGCAGCTTTCATATTAGTTTTAAGGATTTTGTTTTTGCATTATCATTTACTTAATGAATATCCAGAAGATTATGGAAGAGGTCCTCCGGGCACATCGTGTAGAACAGATTCCTTACCTTTCAGGTCATGTGTACACCCATCCACGACTATCGCTGTCAAGCCAGCTTCAAAGATATATGAGAGGTAATATGTAATTCAGCACAGAGTCGTCTAGTAAGGATGGTTATACTAGTTTTTTGGAGACCTCAGACATAAAGGGGATTAGAAATAACTGCTCCTGAATTTAAATAAGAAGGACAGAGAAAGCCATCCTGTTCTCTGAGGACACCTTGAGGACTAGGTGACCAGTACTACAAAAACCCCAAAGAATCACCCCACACATCCTTTCTGCTGCACAACAGCAAGACTAGAAGTGGCATGAAAATGAGATCCTGTCATATACCCTAAATAGAAATACTGTTTTCATCCAAATTTAATCCACCCTTCAAGGTCCAACTTGAATCTATGTCATCCATGACTCCATCTGCACTCTGCTCTTTCCCTCTGTCTGTATCACTGTGGCTACTCCAACACCTGTTTCTCTTATCCCTTGTCTCCCTCTAGTGAGGCTGGAAGGGCTAATGTTGGCTTTCCTGACCTCTCTGAGCCAGGGGTAGCCATGGCACAAGGTTCTGGCCAATGACATGCAAGTAAGAACACTGTTAGGAGACTTATAAGAGTTTCTGTCTTGACAAAAGGGATGGACGTACCAGTACCCAGGACCACCCCTTCCCCTTCTTTTTGCTTTGAATACAGAGTTACAGCAGCCAACTTGCAGCCATGAGAGAAAGACCATGGGAACAGCAGAGATGCCAGCACAGGACCCAGAGCTCTGGCTTCATTAAACTGATGCACCAACCACCTACCTCTGGGATTGCTATCTAGGAAAAAAAATAACCTCCATTCATTTAAGCCCCTGTTAGATTTTTTCGTTTCTTGCAACCAAGAGCATTCCTAGCTTATATAACCCCATAGGTCAAATGTCATATACAGCCTTACAAATTCTTTTTCAGTGGCTTACTATGGGTCAGGCACTGTGAAAATTATAGTATCGTTTAATCACAACAACCTTCTGAGGTGGGTTTTAATACTCCATCTTATAGATGAGGAAACTGAGGCACAAAGAGGTTAAGTAACTAATGTATACTATAATACTATATTGCCTTATATACTATTTAACTGACTATTCCTCCTTATAATTTTAAAGTCTTTGTACGCAGGAGCCATGTTTGCTCAGAACATACCTGTTAAATGGAAAACTAAAGTGTGGAAGTTTCTATAGAAACTGAACAATTGGTGATTTTGTCCCTGACTTGCCAAGCCTCTGAGCCATGTGTCCTGCTGTGGATGCTGTTTAGCCATTGGCCAAAAGAGTCATCCTTTCAGGTCTATAGCTGAGTAGATTATGCAGACAAGGTTGGCCTCACCTGAAACCACAGGAGTCCACCAGAGAGGTGGGGCCAGCAATAAGCTTCTCATTACCTGCAGTAGGCATGATGGATCATAGATGCTAAGTGAGGTCATGAAAGGCCATCAGCATTTTAAGCCAGGGTGCAGTGGCTCACACCTGTAATCCTAGCACTCTGGGAGGCCAAGGCAGGAGGATCACTTGAGGTTGAGTTTGAGACCACCTGAGCAAGAGTGAGACCCCGTCTCTACTAAAAATAGAAAGAAATTGGCCAAACAACTAAAAACAGAAAAAATTAGCCATGTATGGTGGCACATGCCTGTGGTCCCAGCTATTTGGGAGGCTGAGGCAGGAGGATCGCTTGAGCCCAGGAGTTGGAGGTTACAGTGAGATATGATGATGCCACTGCACTCCAGCCTGGGCAACAGAGCAAGACCCTGTCTCAATAAAAAAAAAAAAAAAAAAACAAAGAAAGAAAGAAAAAAAGGCTATCAGCATTTTAAAAACTATAAGCACAATTGAAAGGCAGGCACTGCATCTCCTATTGCCAGTATTATTCCAGATGAATAACAGTATTACCTACTCATCAATATGTTCATGAATTGATTTGTTTTGGTTTAGTGATGATTGGGTCTCTTCTCATTGATATTTCTATATAAATACCAACACTGGGCAGTTACAATGCAATGTAAAGTACACTGGCCTTAGAGTTAGCACTAGTGGGTTGAGGTCCTAGCTCTGCAACTTAGCCGTGTGACTTGGGGCAAGTGACCACACCCTCTAAGCCTCAGACATAAAACAGCAGGAGTAATACCAGCCTCGTAGGGTTGCTGCGAGGCTCATACATGATTGTGGGCATGAAAGTGCCTGATCAATAATAAAGCACTGAACAAGTTCGAGGTTACAATGACTTATAATCACCTCTGACATCAGTGACTTGACTGTCATTCCTTACCCAGCATGTACCAGCATGTACGAGATAAACCTCCAGACTTCCTCCCTCTTCTCGGGACGGTAGATGAAGGGACTCTCCAAGATGCCCGTGTCCAAGGTGATCCACTGTTTCTGAGGCTTCCACACGGCATAGTAAATAAACACCGCCAGCTGACACGGAGGGGGAGACGTGAGTGTTAACCACACCTTCTCCAGAGAGTGGCCCCATTAAAACCCCCGGGCAGTAACTTCGTTCCAAATGCTTGCACTCTCAAGTGGCTCCCACCACAGCACGGGCTAAGAAGATGTCAGGAATTAAATTTCTCCGCCATCCCTGCTGTGGTCGTGTCCCCCACTGCGGTCATATCCTACTTCCTCCAGTGGTGAGGAGCAGCGCTGGCCGCCAGTGTAAAGAAGACTCTCTCTGAAGCCCCTTCCCCCTGCTCTGAGACACCCTACGCTCTAACACTGTGTTCTTTCTCTACCACCCTCGCCCTCTTAAACACCCACTGCCCTTGTCTGCCCACCTCCACCATTTGATCTTTCATTTACAACTTAGTGTGAAAGGAAGTCAATGCTGCTTCTAAGGAGTGCGTAGGAAAAGGGGAAAGTAGCAACTTGACAGTGGACAGACTTGGCAAACACTGCCTTTGCCAGGTGATGAAGGGGAATGCCCCAGTGAGGTCATGCGATGTCCCCTACTCCCTGGAATAGTGTCACTTGGGAAGGGCACTGCACCTCTGTGCTATTCTTCCCCCAAACCCATAACTCCAGTCTAGTCATGAGAATAACATCAAACAAACCCAGACGGGGGGGCGGTGCAGTCTAAGGGATACCTGGCCAGTCTTCCTCAAGAGTAGCAAAGTCAAAAAAAAGAAAGCCTGAGAGGGCCAGGCGCGGTGGCTTACGCCTGTAATCCTAGCACTCTGGGAGGCCAAGGCGGGAGGATTGCTCAAGGTCAGGAGTTCGAAACCAGCCTGAGATAAAGTGAGACCCCCCCTCCCCCATCTCTACTAAAAATAGAAAGAAATTATCTGGACAACTAAAATATATATAGAAAAAATTAGCCAGGCATGGTGGTGCATGCCTGTAGTCCCAGCTACTCGGGAGGCTGAGGCAGAATTTAAGCAGTTTGAGGTTGCTGTAAGCTAGGCTGACACCACAGCACTCTTGCCCGGGCAACAGAGCAAGACTCTGTCTCCAAAACAAAGAAAGAAAGAAAGCCTAAGAAACTGTCAGAGATCAGAGGAGCCTGGGAGACATGACAGCTAAGTGCAGTGTAATATCTTGGATTGGAGGGCACCAGAGGACATGAATGGAGATACTTCAGATGAAGTCTGGAGTTTACTTAGTACTAATATGCCAACTGTGGAAATGTACGATACTAACAATGGGAGAAATTGGGTGAGGGGTGTACAGGAATTCTCTGTACTATCTTGACAACTTTTCTATAATGCTAAAATTATTCCAAAATAAAAAGTTTATTTAAGAAAAATTTAATAAATAAATTGGTCTTTCTGTGAGAGGCAGATATCTCAGCACCTGCGCCATGACCCTTCAATGAAAAATTGCCCCCTCCATAGCACACGGTGTCTGGGCAGTCATGGTCTGTACCATGGGACCTTACCCGGTTCTTCTCCAACCCCCTACCACCACACACACACACACACTTGATTGGAACATGGGCACACCGGACAAGCCACAGGCCAGAAGAATTTGAGGGAGAAGCAGAAAGATCCTGATGACCCCAGTTGCATATAATCTCACAACAAAATCCCTCGAGAAAACTTAGAGCTATGTTTCTTCTTCCAAAACAGCCTTAACAAAAGCATCTCCTGGGAGGCTCACACGTCTTATCTGAGCCACGAGAGGCTTGTTCCTCACGATAGTGAATTTTATGTGTCAACTTGGCTAGGCTGTGGTACCCAGATATTTGCTCAAACATTATTCCAGATGTTTCTGTGAGGGTATTTTTTAGATGAGATTGATATTTAAATCAGTAGACTTGAGTAAAGCAGATTCCCTCCATAATGTGGGTGAGCCTCATCTAATCAGTTGAAGGCCTGACTAGAAAAAAGACTGTCCTCCCTTAGGAAAAGGGAATTCTGCCAGCAGAACACCTTCAGATTCAAACTGCAACTCTGCCCTGGGCCTCCAGCGTCTGCCCTATAGATCTTGGACTTGCCAAGCCTCCATGATTGTTTGTACCAATTCCTTAAAATAAATCCCAATTTCTCTGTCTTCCACACACACACACACACACACACACACACACACACTATTGTTTTGTTTTTCTGGAGAACCCTGACTAATACAGTCCCTGATAAGGAAGCTGAGGCATCAGTGGGAATTAAGAGAATTACTTTAGGGACTTCCCAGTGCCCTGGAATCACACAGCACAGGCAGCCATGCTCGGCCGGTCCCTTTGTGAGATACCCAGTTCAGGAAAAAAGGCTGGGTGTCATAAAGCTCAGGCGAAGCCTAGTCCTGGCCCAGTCACCAAGATGTGACCTTGGGCAAGTGACCCCACCTCTCAGAGCCCTGCACTCTTTTCTGGAGAGCTGACTAGATAAGAGTCTGAGAACACACACATGCTGCCCAAAGCAGACATCGTTAGAGGATCCCCTTTTCTTCGTACTGAAATTCGGAGGCAGCCTTTAACTCTTCTAAGCATATGGCCCCAGACAGACCTTATGAACCAATCTAAGTTGTTTCCTGAAATAAAGCCCATTTGCAACCCCAAGATTATTTGGCTTCTAAAGACCCCACCAGCTGAAATGACAGGAAGCCACTGAAATTGCAGCCACTGCTGGGCAGGGGATTTGTCTGACAAATGAAACTCAACCCCTGGTTGAGAGTGACCAGGGGCACAGGAAAGGCCTGCGAAGGCAGCTCTGGAGAGAGCTAAGGCGGAAGTCAGTGTGGCTGCCTCATCCCCACTGAGCTCTCTTCTTACATATTCCCAGTCTCTTCTCTAGACCTGAATCTAATCCCCAGTTTATTTGCAACCCCCCAGTGCTACACACACCAGTGTCTACCACCACCTGTACTCACCTCGGCCAGGCTGATGGAGATGATGAACACCGGTGGGGGGAAGCAGTTAGCTCTCTCCAAGTATGTTACTCGGGACTTTTCAGGAAGCATCCATTTTGAGACAATCCTGTGGACCTTTTTATTCTTGGCAGGACCTTTACCTCCTCCGTCCTCTGTCATTTTCTCCTCTTCCTCCAGCTCTTCTTTCATCTCTCTCCCCATATCCAGATTCACACTCTCCAGCTCCAAATCATGAGCAGCAGCCATTGTCCTGGGTCCTCCCTCCACCTGAGAGGGACATGAATGCCAGGGAACAGGTGACCCTATGGTCTCCAGGCCATGACTCTTTCCTGGGCTGTCTGGCACAACTGTTGGTTTTCAAGGCCTTTCCTGTGTGTTAATAGAAGGCAGCTGAAGATGGTCAAAATGGTCTAAACCTCCTAAATGGCCCCAAATAAAGTTTTCACTGTAACTGTCTTAAAAAGCATGAGCCGTGGAGCCAGATGACTGGGATGAAAACACAGCTCCTCCACGTATCAGCTGTAAGGCAACCTCAGGTAAGTCACTTAAGTTCTCCGAGCCTCAAATTATGTGTTTCCTAAATTGTGGTCAAATACACATCACATAAAATTTACCATTTAAACCATTTAAAGTGTACCATTCAGTGGCATTGAGTACATTTACAATGTTGTGCAACCATCACCACTATCTAGTTCCAAACCGTTTTTCATCACCACAAACAAAAACCCCATACCCATTAAGCAGTTAATCCCCATTCCCCCTCACCCCAGCCCCTGGCAACCCCCAGTCTGGTTTCTGTCTCTGTGGATTTACCTGTCCTGGATATTTCATAGAAATGGAGTCATACAATATGTATGTATCATACAACATGTGCCCTTTTGTGCCTGGCATGTTTCATGCAGTGTTTTCAAGGTTCATCCATGTTGTAACAAGGGTGAGAATTTCCTTCCTTTTCATGGCTCAATAATACTGGCTTGCATAGATATTCTCCATTTTGTTTATCCATTCATCTGCTGATGGACATTTGGGTTGTTTCCACCTTGTGGCTATTGTGAATGTGCTTCTATGAACACCCCTGTACACGTTTTTGTTTCAACATCTGTTTTCAGTTCTTTGGGGCATATACCTATGAGTGGAATTGCTGAGATATATGGCAATTCTATGTTTAACTCATTGAGAAACCCTCAGATTCCATTTTAAAGTAGGGATAATGATACCACTTACCTCATAGCATGGCTGGGAAGATGATTTGAGATAATGAATGTAAAGCATTTAGAACAGTGTGTGGCATATAGTAAACACTCCGTAATTATTGTTCTTGGCTATGATGGACAGGTGGGTGTATAGCTGGATGGATGGGTAGATGGAAGGGATAGAGCTGAGTCTGGGCCTACTTTCACACTGCAAGTTAGTAGGAATCAGATCAAATTCAATTTAGTTTCAAATGAAATTCATTAGGCAAATTTTCACTTTATAATAGGTTATATTCAATAAGTTGAAGAAGAGACTTCTTTTATTTTTCTTTTCTTTTCTCCAGCAACTATTCTGAAAAATAAAGGTTTTCCTGTATCTTCCACCCTCACCCAGCCAACCCCCAGGGTCAGACATTAAGTCCATGGACATAGCTATTTTATTAATTGTCCTTGAATACTGATTTTTTTCTAGTTTTTGGCACTTTTCAAAATTGATAAAACTAGAGTGTGGATTTAAGATCAGCAGCTATTAACTGCAAATATTAAAGCATTTAAAAAATAAGTTCAGTTAGGGACAATTAACATTGTATAAGCCAGGCGTAATCCTAGCACTTTGGGAGGCCAAGGCGAGAGGATCGCTTGAGCCCAGGAGTTCAAGACCAGCCTGGGCAACACAGCAAGACTCTGTCTCTACAAAAATTTTTTAAAAATTTAGCCAGACATGGTAGTGCACTCCTGTAGTCCCAGCTACTTGGGAGACTGAGGCAGGAGGATCACTTGAGCCCAGGATTTGGAAGCTGCAGTGAGCTATGGTGACGACACTGCACTCTAGCCCAGGCAACAGAGCAAGACTCTGTCTCAAAAAAAGAAAGTACTGATTTTAAAAATTAGTAACTTAAAACTGCCACACACAAAAAAAGAACAAAAATGGTCCACAAAACACTGTCCTTCCCTTCTGAAGGTTGCATGTCTGCTTTCTGTCTTGGCATATGCAGTAAAGTAGACATGTAGCTCTAGCTACTTTAGGCTCTAACAGATGAGCACGTTGGTATCGATTTGCAGCATTTTGTTTTTCCCTCTCTTCTCAGTCCATCACTATGACACTCCGACTTTCATACCTGTCTGTTTGCCCTGATCCCTGAGGACAGAGGCCTGGCTCTGACTCATCTCATCTCCAGCACCTGGTGCTGTGCTGCCCACAGACCTCCTTCCAGTCTCTGACACCCCCTCCCATCTCTCCCACTCCTGTTTATCTTCCACCCCACTCCCGAATTTCTGAGCACAGTTTAGCACCTTGGATATTACCGATCAGGTTGGCAACAGTGAAAAAGACTGATAATATCCCATACTTATGCAGCTGTGTGGAAATGAGTGCAATGTCTGAGATGTAAACTGATGCAGCCTTTCAGAAGGCAATTGGGCATCGTCTATAAAATACAAAAAGTACGCACCTTTCAACAGAACCATCCTACTTCTAGAAATCTATCCTAAAAATGTATTTGAGCAAGTATACAAAGCTTTATTGCAAAGTTGTTCATGCAGAACTATTTATAGCAGTGAAAAATTATAAATAACCTAAGCGTACTTCAATGGGGTTGTTGCATTTTCTGACAGTTCTAATTCTTAGGCAGTTCTTTACACTGTGCTGAAATCTGCTCACCAGCACTTCTGCTCCTGGGTCCAAGGTTTCTCTCCCTGGGGCTTCACAAAGCAAGTTTAATCTAAGGTTATGTGGTCATTAATTTTGTTCTTGCTTGGGCGTAGCCTGTATATAAACTCTATGGGCTCTGTAGGTCAATGTTGGGATACAACATCTGGAAGAACACGTTAGAATTTTTGGAGGCCCAATTAAATAGAGCAAGAGTCTCAAAACAAAACAAGTGGCAATGATTACGACACATTCTAGTCTCATAGAGATATAAAAGCATCCACAGCTACTCGATTATTTACTTGGTCACTCTTGGTTACACTCACGGAGTGGATATTTACTGCACTGACTCTGCTTTCTTACTCACTAAGCAAGCCTACCTCTTATCTGCAGCAAGTTGCTGCCAGCTCTGTTGAAAAGCCACAACATACAGAGATCAAAACTGAGTGGCACTGCCGTGAAATGTTCTTATCCTACAGGTAGGGAACAACTGGAGGAGATTATTAGAATGCTGGTTAAAAATGGAGAGGTTCCTCCTGCACACCAACAACCAAAACCCTTCCCTTCATGTTTAGCAAGTATTCCTAAGAGGAAACGTAGAAAGAACTTCCCTACTTCCTGGCCTCACCTAGAAGAAGGATTGCTTGTGTTATGAACCACGGAGCCAGTGTGTTGGCCAAAGATTGGCAAGGGCAGGACCGTGCTCATTTACCCAGAACAGTTGACTATCTTTAAAAAAAAAATCTGTAGAAAAAGAGATTTACAGAGGATACCTTTGACATTGGTAAGGGATTTTTCCAAAGACCTTTCAGATGCCATAATCCACTGTATACCATAGGGTTCTCCCAAAATTACATTGTAAACTATAGCCAGAAAATTTTAAGCGATTCCACTTCAGTCCTTAAATGATTCCATAAATGCAGAAGTAAAGTTACTTATAAAATTAGTTATTTGAGAAGTATTAACTATAGTCAACAATTTGCAGCTGAGGTCCCAAAGAAGGAAAGAAAATTTGCTTAGTTGTGTGTCTACTCATCTTTTAGTGATGTTTCATCTCACTCTTGAAGAGCAGCCTCTGCACTGGCTGACTCTCGCTAAAAGAACTTCCCAGAGCTCTTTTCCTTGATCGATGTGACACACATCATGGATCTATTGATATCAGAGATCCCAGACACCACTGAACTTGACATTCCGTGCCAGTTTATCTGAAACTTCTACTTACGGCACACACACACAAAAGTCACTTTTTCAGGCCTCTTCATTTCTCTTCATTTCTGTCACTGGCACTATCAAGTGATTTATTTTATGAGTCTTTTCTATTCCTCAAATAAGAAACCAAGGTTGTCATCACTGCTGGCAAATGACATAAAGGCTAGAACTGGTAGAGAATAATAAAGTCATGTGAGATGTCCAGGTAGACCAGCAGCCCTGGCCAAGCCACTCATTCAACTCTCATTCATTCACAGTGGGCCTTTGAGGGTAGCTAATAAAATATCAAAACTATAAGTGTTGAATCTGCAAATGTCAATGACTTCTGGTGTATTCTTTTAACATTTATGTTGTGGTCATTTGTCAGTTTTCTTGGGGAATTCCTCGTCTGCTCTCGGTGAGCAGTAGGGAACACTTCCAACTACAGATGCTAAAAATGCCCAAAACTCACATTTCCGGGTCCCTAGGCATCTAGGGCTCAGGGACGTGACCTATGCTTTGCCAATCGGATGCATTTGCTTAGGATTTTTGAGGCCACAGCTGGGGATGGGGAAAACTCTTTACAGTGGTTGCAGTGTTGGCAGCAGTATCTAATGTCCACACGGCCTTGCCATTGGGGTCAGTGTGGCATCCAACATCTGATGCCAGCTGTATCTGTGACAAAGGCCGCAGCACTGAGCACGCAGCGGCAGTGATGGGGCTGCCCTCACCCACCGGGCCCTGTGATGGGATTTTGCTGTAGTTCTAGGTGTCTGGTCTCCCCTTGTTTCTGCTTATTTCCCACGCCTGGTTTCTGCAGCCTCCCAGTGATTCTGTAACCGACCCAATGTGCTTTCAATAAAATTCACTTCCTGGTTTAATAAACCGGAATCATTTTCCATGCCTTGTGACCAGGAACCTGACTTGATAGACTTAAATTGCCAAGAAATTCTTCTAAACTCTCTTCGGAGTCTTCCTGTTGCAAGTCAAACTCATTTCTTGTGGTGTGTTTGGGAGACACAGTGAAGGAGCACAGAACCAGGTCTGTCTTCTGGTCTAGACTGCCACTTCCTGGCTGTGTGGCCAGGGGCAAGTCCCTTCCCAGCGCTGAGCCACATTTCTGTCACCTGCACAGTGAGCGCCTTCACCACACCAGGAGTTGCCCTAACTCGCTATGCCTTAGAACCCCTGAGGCATCTGTTTTTCAACATTTGTATTCATACAGATCCCCAGGCCCTATTCCCGAAGATACTAATCGAGCAGGGTTAGTAGATCTCCAACAAGTAGACCAGAAGAAGCAGAGGCAGCAGCACCTTTGAGAACCACAATCTAGGGATCTCCAAGGCCTGCTCCAGTTCACGAGCTCTGTGATCCTCTCATGCAGGGCAGGCCGCTCCACTCTGTATTCTTTGCACCCAGAACCGTTTCCAGCACATAGTGACTGTTCAGAAAAACACTTGTATTTGAGTAAAGGGTTTATGGAAACTCTCTGCACTGCCTTTGCAACTTTTCTGTAAATCTAAAATTCTTCCAAAATAAAAAGTTATTTTAAAAAATACAGGAAGGAAGGAAGGATGGAAAAGAGGGAGAGAAAGAGGGAAGGAGGGAGAAAGAGGAGGGAAAAGGGAAGGATTCTAACCACCCCACATTGACTAAGTCTTCGTATCACTTTATGTTGACAGCACCTCCTACCGACCTTTTCCTCTGCACATCTGCGCCCCATCTGTCATCATTCCGCCATCAGTGAGCTGTCAGGAGAGACCTGTGGAGCCACCGTATTGTAACGGGCTACCAAAAAGGGCTTGTCACCTGCCTGTGAGAATTACCGTTCCTTGTGTTTTGCCCTGTAAAGACCCAAGTTTGCTCCCAGCATCCACATTTGGTTTCACTGGGCCTCAGTTTCCTCAGCTATAAAACAGAACTCACTTCTACCCTGAGTATCTTACAGAATTGTTATAAGAATCAAAAGAAATCATAATAGCCACCATAATAAGCACACACTTACCGTGTGTACTCTATGCTTAAACCCTTCACATGCATTCTCTTCATTAATTTTCACAACTTTGCAAGGTAGGCTAATAACATCCCCATTTTATGGACAAAGAAACTGAGGCTCCCAGAGTAACTTGCTCAAGGTCCTGCAGCCAGCAAGGCGAGGGCTGGGAGAAGAGCCCATGGCACCAACTCCAAAGCCCCTGCATGTTCTGCTGCCCCTGTGATTTCTAAGCACCAAGTGTTATAGAAATGTTTGTCTTCTTTTTGGTTATTTTCATCCCATCCTTTCCTCCCCCCTTATCTCCCTCTTCTTCCTCCAGCTGCCCAGAGAAACCCAGACGAGACCCTGGGAATTCTCAAACGGAAGCTGGAGAAGAATTAGCAGGTCATTACCCCTGGGGGAGGACATTCCCACTGTCTCCATCTCTCCCGCAGGGACTCCAGATGGAGACAAGTGTCCGGGACAGGAAAGGACTTGCCTCTCTGGGAACCCAGAGGACTAAGTCAGGCTCACCTTCCCTTCTTCACCTCACCCAGGAGGGCACTGACAAGGCCAACGCCCTTGGGACAACTCCTCTTTGGTAGAAACTTTTCATCATTAGCTCGCGCTGCTTTCCTAGCTGCATCCAAACAAGTAAGTTCTGAATATCTGAATGTTTTTTTTAAACAGCTGGCCCCACCCATTCATCGGTACCAGGCGGGCCCCTGCAGGACCAAGTCCAGCCTTGATGTGGCAGAGAAGCCCGGGGAGGTTGGGCAGCAGGCTGTGCTGGGCGCGGCCAATTGCCACACAGCTGGGCCTGGTGGGGAGGCTTTTGGTGGTGTTGCTAGGCAACCTGAGTAATTGGAGAGACTGGATTGGGCTGCTGGGCCACAGAGATTAACAGCCTCCTTCATCACGCTGCTGACCGTCATTATGCCCGTTCCAGAGGCCTGCAGCAACCTCTTTGTGGTTATAGCCTGAAAGGATGCATTTTTAGCTACAGAAATTAAGAACTGGCTTTTCAATATTATGGGTTTGTGGTCGTGGTTGTTTTCTTTTTGCTACATCGCTGCGGATACACTTGGAATAAATAGGCAAAGATTTAAAAACAAAAAATGCCTTCACAGACCCTCATCTCCAAAAGTTTTCCTTTTTCCTGAAGCAAAGCACATTTGCCCTCAATATCGAGGACAACTAAGGTAGGGACACCGTGTCTCCTGAGGTCTCGCCATGGCCCACTCTGCAGTAAAAGCTTCTTCCTTGCAACCTCACTGATGGGCTGTGGTTCAGGGTAGGGGGCCCCTCAGCAGAATAGTTTCTTTGGGACCCTCCCATCCAAAGGCAATCACAATACCTCACCCTTTCCATTCTGTAGAACCACTCTCACTTGCATGATTTTGGTGGATCCTTCTGTCTGTCCTGTGAAGAAGACATCATTATTATTCCCATTTTACAGATGAACAACTAAGGCAAAAAGGGCAACCATGACCACATACCCAATGACAGCAGAACCAGGGCAAAACCCAGTAATCTGGGACTAGATCCTGGGCCTCTCCACCATGCCACATTGCCTGCCCACAGACTATTTAACATATGACATATATTTATGTACCCTAGTATAATAGTAATAATAGTAATGATAATGTACACTGGGGTAGAAGACATAGAAATTACATCCTAGAACTTTTCTCTTTTTTTCATTTTTTTTCCCCTTTGGTGAGACAGAGTTTCACTCTGTCACTCAAGCTAGAATGCAGTGGTCTGATCATACCTCACTGCAGCTTCTAAAACTCCTGGGTTCAAGTGATCCTTCTGCCTCACCCTTCCTAGCAGCTGGGACTACAGGCACGTACCACCACACCCCACTAATTTTTCTTATTTTTTGTAGAGATGGGGTCTTGCTATGTTGCCCAGGCCGGTCTCAAACTCCTGAGCTCAAGTGATCCTCCCACCTCAGCCTCCCAAAGCACTGGGATTATAGGCGTGAGCCACCGCACCCGGCACATCCTGGATCTTGTACTATCCTCAACACCTCATTCTTGTTGATTGTGATTGAGCTTTTAGAGCTGTGTCATGTGCCCTAAGGAATATAGTCTGAAAGAATTCCCAAAGACAAACACACTGTTGAAGTGAGTTAACAGACTCAGCACAGCAGCGCACTGAGCTGAAGGAAAACACTGACCCTGAGCCACTTCCTCCTTAATTCAAGGAGAGCTGGCTCAGCCCCCTAAGTAAGGAGATAAAATCATTGCTTTCATTAGATATTTGTAGTATTTTTCCATAAAGGCTTTCACTGCCTCATCTAGAATATTTTTTCAGTAGTGGCCCATTGATAATGACCAACTGTTCTAGCTTGCACAGGACTAGGAGTTCCTTGGAATGTAGGACTTTCAGTGCTAAAATCAGGGCAAATCAAGGATGGTTGATCACCCTATCATGGACCACCTACATCACAGTCATGTGGTTGGTTAGGCAACCATGGCTGGTTCTAATCCTAGGGCAGTGGTTCTTAACCCCAGCTGTACATCTGAGCTCATCCCAGATCCATGGAATCCGGGTCTCTGGGGCTTGGGCCTGGCACTGGTATCTTTTAATGTGCAGCCACAACTAAAAATTTCTGCCCTGGAGATTTGAATGCAGAGGGTCTGGGCTCAGGTTTTGCCCAGGAATTCACATGAATTTTTAGTAGCTCCCAGGGGATTCTTATGTACACCATGTTTTTATAACCAGTGAATGCTTATGTGATGTGTGCATTCATGGGTAAGCATTCCCTGAATGCCTTGTATGTGTTAGGCTCTGGAAACACACAGGAGAAAAAAAAGAAAAGAAACCACCTCCTGTTCCAGGCCCTCCCTATTCAGTGGAGAATAAAGACCTATAAATTGTCCCGACATAGTATACTGTGATTTAGATTTAAAAGTGGGTCAGCACCATCAGGGCGGTTATGGCTATTCTGTTTCCAGAAACCTGGTGTGGTAGACTAAAGATGGAACATATAATTTGCCATTCCTTCCACTGAGAGATAGGGTTTATTTCCCGTTGCCTTAAATCTGGGCCAGCCCTGTGACTGGTTTTGACCTACATGACGAGGCAGAAGCAGTGCTGGGTACTTGCCAAGGCCAGGCCTTAAGAGATACGCAGCCCTCACTTTTGCTCCTTTGGGAATGCTCCCTCTTTGAAGCCTGACTTTGCATAAGAAGGCTGACTATCTGGAGGCCACCATGCTATGAGGAAGCCCAAGCTACCCACGTGGACAGAGAGGCCATGTAGAAGAGCGCCAAGGTGCGAGACCTGTGAATGAAACCTTCTTGACCTTCCAGCCTACCTCATCCACCAGGCGAAGACAGCCAAGTAAATGACCCCAGCTGATACTACTTGGAGCAGGAGAACTGCTCAGCTGAACCCTTCCCAAATTCCTGACCCACGAATCATGACAAAATAAGATGGTAGTTGTTTTAAGTCACTAAATTTTGGAGTGATTTGTTATACAGCTGTAGCTACCAACACACCTCATCAGAACCAGAAGACAGAATGACAGCTCATGCCATTCTGCCTTTCCATTAATAGTGTTCATCTCTGTATCCTTCCGCAGAGTAGATTGCAGATATCTCACCCGAAATAGCCTCCCAAATCAGTCTCCACTCCTGCCTCTCCCTCCAAAACAAAACGGTAAGTCAGAATATATCAACTCTCTGTTTAAAATCCTCCAATGGTTTCCACTGTCTTTTAGATAAATACAAGATCCTTATCATAGCTGATAAGATCCTGCATGATCCAGCTTCTGCCTTCTTTATGGAATTCAGCTTCTACCACTCTGCCCCAACATCTCTGTGCTCCAGCCACAGGGACTTTTTTCTGTTCCTGGAACACACCAAACTCTGCCGTGCCTCCAGGTCTTTGCACTTGTTCCTTCTACCTGGTCCTGCCACCCCCAACTCCAACACATATGCAGAGGCTGTCTCCTTCCTCACCCACAGCACCGCCCTGGGAAGTCTTCCCTGCCCACGCCTTCTTCCACGCCCGGATACTCTATCACATTTCCTTGCTTATTTGCTCCCAGCAGTTATCACTATTTAAAAATATCTAGTTTATGTATTGTCTGTCTCTTTCTACTAGACTATAAGCTCCAGAAAAGTAGGAAATGTTTATTTTATATTCCATCTGTACCCCAGTGTCTACCATAGTGCCTAGCAGAGAATAGCGGCTCAGTAAGTGTTTGCTGAATGAACCATCAAATGAATGAAGAAGGAAGGAAGAAAGGAAGGAGGAAGTATGAAATAACAAAAAGAGCTCTGACATTACAGGAGTCAGAAAATCCTGGTTCTTCCTCCAATTCTGCCCCTGCTTATCTATGGACAAGTCACTTCACCTACACCTAATCAGGAATCTCATCCCCAGCAAGCACATGGCTGGTGATGTTTGCAAGTACTATACACCAGAAATCTTCACATTTTTTTTTTGTTCTTGAACCCCTAAAAGAATTTTGAAGAAGCTATGTCCCCTCTCACACATTTTTAAGTTAATAACTAAAATTATTTTTTACAAGTTAAAATCGGTTCCAAGACCAAATTTTCTGGCATAGTCTTTGATAGAGATGTGCTTTAAATATATTTTCACCCAAACCTTGGAGCTACAGATTTAGCTTATTCAGTTTATGGAAAATGTCTACCATATAATCCAGTTAGCAAAGCCAGCCCTCACTGTCAAACCAATCAGCCAAATCAGACTGATTTTCTGTCTGTAAGAAAATCCATCTTCATTTTTTAAAAGTTCTATACATGTGTTACTTTGTATCCCCATGACAACTGGCTCATGTCTCAATTCTAATTTTACAATACTTAGGTAAAGAGCCAAAGCACCTAAGTTTTATGGAGAGTAGCATAATGGCTAAGAGCACCCGTTCTAGAGGAATTCAAAGGTGCCTGAGTTCAAATTCAGATTTCACCACTTCATGCCTCTGGGACCTTGGGCAACTTATTAAACCTCTTGGTGCTTTGGGAACCTCATATGTAAAAGGAGGATAGTAAGTATCTTCTTTCTAGATTCAGTATGAGTATTACATTAGTTTATAATCTGTAAAACCCTTACAACACAATCTGGCACATAATTAGCATTAAACAAGTATTTTTGTTTTTAATTTTTTTTTAGAGACAAATTTTCACTCTGTCACCCAGATTAGAATGCAGTGGTATGAGCATTGCTCACTGTAACCTAGAACTCCAGGGCTCAAGCAATCCTCCCTCCTGCCTTAGCCTCCCAAGTACCTAGGACTATAGGCACATGCCGCCACATCCAACTAATTTTTTTATTATTCTTTTTTTAGAGATGGGGTCTGGCTATGTTGCCCAGTCTGGTTTCGAACTCCTGGCCTCAAGCAATCCTCCCACTTCGGCCTCCCAAGTAGCTAGGACTACAGGAGCTCGCCACCACACCTGGCTAATTTTTTTTTTTTTTTTTTAGTTTTTGTAGTGACAGAATATCGATGTGTTGCCCAGGCTGGTCTCAAACTCTTGGCCTCAAATGACCCTCCCACTTCAGCCTCCCAAAGTGCTGGGATTACAGGCATGAGCCACTGGGCCCTAAACAAGTATTTTTAAATAAAATAAATACTATGAATCTGTATTGAGGCACAGCCCCCTTCTA